ATATTAGGCAGGATAGCATGTGTAAAAATGAATATACTACCAAAAATGTTATTTTTATTTCAAAATTTACCAATCATAAGGAATAAGAAAGGACTAAACCAATGGAATAAGGACATAAGGAAATTTATCTGGCAGAATAAGAAAAATAGAATAAGTTTTAAAAATATAACAGATGAGAAAAATAGAGGGGGACTGGCAATGCCTAATTTAGAGATATATGCAGAAGCAAGTGCGCTAACTTGGATACTCGATTGGATTAGACTAGAAAATGAAAAACAACTAAACTTAGAAGGCCACGACCTTAGGAAGGGGTGGCATGCTTACATTTGGTATGGGAAAAGAAAAATAGAAAAGGGTTTTGGAAATCATTTTATCAGGTCGGCGATAATTAAAACGTGGGAGAAATATAAAGAAAGAATTTACAATAAAACCCCGTTATGGGTATCACCGTTAGAAGCTTGTCAAAGGAGAGAGCTGGGATGGATAAATTGGCCCTGCTATAGAGTCATAACAGAAAAAAAAGATCAGGAGATACACTTAAAACCTCAAGAAGAAGTAAAGAAATTATACCCAAACATAACGTGGCTGCAATACAGACAATTAAAAGAGTCTTTTACGATGGACAAAAAAACCGGCTTTATGAAAGAGGATAATATCTGGGACAAAATTATAAGATCTAGGAAAAAAACAATATCATTAATATACAAAATATTATTGGAATGGAACACGGAAGAAGAAAGAATAAAAGAGTGTATGGTGAAATGGGCCAGCAATGTAGGGAGACCAATAAATTTGGCAGAATGGGAAACCATATGGAAGAAAAAACTAAAATATACAAAAGCGTATGATCTAAAAGAAAATTGGCTCAAACTATTCTATAGGTGGCATTTAACACCCCAGAAGCTGGGAAAATTTTATAAGAACTTAAACACCAAATGCTGGAAATGTGGTGAGACAACGGGCACATACTACCACATGTGGTGGAACTGCAAAAAGCCAAAAGATTTTGGAAAGAAATCCAGGAAAAATTGCAATATATATTGAAGATCAAAATCCCACTCTTACCAGAAATATTCCTACTGGGAATAACAAAAGAGGAAACAGACAAGAATCTAGATAAAGTATTATTCCTGGCGACAACCGCGGCGAGAATATGCTACGCCAGATACTGGAGAAAGGAAGAGATACCGGAGATGGACGAATGGGAAACGAAGCTTATGGAGGTAAAGAACATGGACAGACTAAGTTATCTAATCCAGAAAAGCAAAGGAATAACAGAAAAAGAAACAGATTGGACAAGAATTGATGAATACTTCAAAGAGAAATGACCCAGAGACTAAAGATGGGAGAAAAGGTATTCCCAAGACCCAAATGAGAAACTGAACAGAAGAAAAGAAGAAAACAATAAAATAAGAAGGAAAGAAAAGGAAAATCTTCGCAAAGGACACCCGGAAGACAGGCCGAAGGAAGGGGGAAACCTCGATTTTTTGTCTCTACTACTTTTAACGCACTCTCTGCACTTTCCTTTTCTGACTTTCTATACCCTCACTTCTACCCACCCCGTACTCCTCTAAGTCTATCACCCAACCACTTTCTTTCCCTATCCGCTCTCCTCTTTTATTCCCCCCTTACTCTTTCTGACTCTCTAGACTGTTCTACTCTTTTCTTTTTTTTAAATTACTGCTCTCTTTTAATCATATGTATATGGAAAATGTGAATAAAGATTATTAAAAAAGAGCTGGACATGTTTAGCCTGAAGAATGCTAAGAGGAGACATGATGATGGCAATGTATAAATATGTGAAGGGAAGTCATAGGAAGGAGGGAGCAACCTTGTTTTCTGTTGCCCTGGAGACTAGGATGCAGAGCAATGGCTTCAAAGTACAGGAAAAGAGATTCCACCTGAACATTAGGAAGGACTTCCTAACAATGAGAGCTGTTCAAGAGTGGAACTCTCAGCCCCAGAGTGTGATGGAGACTCATTTTTGGAGGCTTTTAAACAGAGGCTGGATAGCCATCTGTCGGAGGTGCTTTGAATGCGATTTTCCTGCTTCTTGGCAGGGGGTTGGACTGGATGGCCCACGAGGTCTCTTCCAACTCTAGGATTATATACGTCTATGCACTACATTCTCATGAGTTCAACTGAACTTTTATAAACTACACTGTACTAAATAAACAAGAACAACTATTCCAAAAAGGTAGTTTCTAATTTCTCTCCATGGTGACAGAAAAGTAACATTTTTGGACTAGAAGTAATATTGTCTTCTATCTATCTCATTTTAATGTATTCTGCAGAACCCTGTACAGTCAGATAGCAAAACTTACAAACAGGAAATTCATTTAAATGTGATTGAAAATATTCTACTATGGTACTATTTATAGCTCATTCATTACACTCCCAAGCCTCAAGCACTGACTTCTAAATCAACTGCATGAATTATAACCCAGGTCCATGATGACATGAATAATAATCCCAAAAAACAGATTTGTAATTCACTAAAATACTGTTTGAGAGAAGGAAAGCTGATTTGTAAATCAGGCATTTGAATGGTTGAATAAAAATTTTAATCAACACAAAAATAACATTTGGAAGATTAGTGTTGCTGTTATAAATATAAGTTGATAAAAATCTTTTACATTTTCTTTCCAGTGTCCCCGTTTATGAAATACAAGTGTATACAATTATATATATTCAAATTGGATTATCATGCTAATAAGGTGAAAACATTAGCTATCCCAAGGAGATTTTCAAAATATTAGCTTTCATCATGTCCAAGGACCAGTATTCTGTCTCCCAGGAGTTCAATTTGCATTGCCCCATAGTTGTAGGACCCCTTTTGCATTTTTTCCAGGGTTGTTACAGATTCAGCAACACCCTGATAGTTAACCATTATCAGAGGCTTGAAGTCACCCTGCAAAGCCTTTCCTGCTGATGGCTTGCAAAAGTATCTTTTTGATTTTGAGACCGCCCCTTTTTCCTGGGGATGAAATCTCCATTTTGAGAAGCTCTTCTGCCTTCTACAGTATAGCAAAAGACTCAGATGTGCTTGTGGTCAAGCCAGGCCAGCTCAGACAAGCCATTGTAAGTACTAACCTCTTGCCTTTGAAACTAGGTCTGAGTTTAGATAGGGAAAGACCTGCTATTTCTAAAATAGCAACTCAGCACTAGGGCAGAGAATATCCCAGGATTTCTTTGCCATTGGAAGAAGCTCTAACTACTTCACCTCCAAGCTAGCTTTGAGTTTAGATAGGGAAAGACCTGCTCTTTCTAGTATAGCGACTCAGGGCTAGAGTAGAGAGTATTCCAGGATTCCTCCACCATTGAAAGAAGTTAACTCAGCAACTGAAGGGGAAAGTAAGAAAGGAACATCCACATGATTTTATAAGTTAACTGTTTGTATTTGTAACCTCAACAAGTTGTGCCAAGCCTGTCAAGGACTTTGAGAAAATAAAAAAAATTGTTTGATGTTCAATCTGGAGATGTCTTAGTTGCTGGGACTCCTGAGCTTCAAAGTAAGGCCCCCGCAGTCCACCCGGCTAAAGAAAGAAGCACATCATAGTTTCAACCTTAATGTGCCTAGGTGTGACTGCACAACCAGAAAAAAGTAACACCAGCTCTGTACTACAGAAATATTTTCTGTTTTCTGTATGAGTAGTTACTGTATTAGTTATGCCACTGGCCTGGATATGAACAATGTGGAGACATATATTCCTCATAGTAGAATAAGACATATTAAGACTGATGTGAGGTCTATTTAACTTCAGTCTCCTTTTTTTCAAATCTGTTTTAATCGATTAAGTTTTTTAATATGCTTTTTGTGCTTAAATAATTTTTATTACATTTATTTATTTTTTAATTTTTTTGAACTTTTCACTCAATTTAACTTATTGATACTTTAATAAATTAACTAGAAATCATAGAAAAACACAACTGGAAGGGATCACAGGTCCACCCAGTCCAACTCCATTCTGCCATGCAGGAATACGCAAGTAATGTACTTCCGACCATACAGTCTCCAAAGAAGAAGTCTCCATCACTATTTTAGCATGGTTTCCAGCAATCAGATTTCCATGTGTTGTTGAAGGCTTTCATGACCAGAATCACTGGATTTCTGTGAGCTTTCCAAGCTATATGGCCATGTACTAGAAGCAGTCTCTCCTAACATTTTCCCCACATTTATGGCAGGCATCCTCAGAGGTAGTGAGGTCTGATGGAAACTAGGCAAATTGGGTTTATATGTCAGTGAAATGTCCAGGGTGGGAGAAAGAACGCTTGTCTGCTTGAATTCCTGACATGAAACAATCAGGGCCAGCTAACACCTCCCAACAAAGGATTCCCCAAGGCAAGAAGCAGCCAGGCTTTCAAGCTGCAAGGCCATTAAAGGCTAATCAAGGTGACCAATTGCAACATTCACATTTGCCTCAAGCAGACAAGAGTTCTTTCTCCCACCCTGGACATTTCACAGATATATAAACCTCACTTGCCTAGTTTCCAACAGACCTCACAACCTCTGAGGATGCTTGCCATAGATGTGGGCAAAACGTCAGGAGCAAATGCTTTTGGAACATGACTATACAGCCCGGAAAATTCACAGCAACCCAGTCAGATTTCCTACTGTATCCAGGGCTTACATTGTGAGCATTATTGCATGTGCACCTGAAACAGCATCACTCACATCCAGGGGGAGGTGGGTATCAGAAGAATACCAAAATCTGCATAAATAACATTAAAGCACATAGAGAAAACCCCAAACAGTCGACCAATGTTGCATACCAATGTTGCAATGTTGAATACAGTGGACATGGGATATTCGCTGTCTACAGGGAAGGAGCAGATAAGAAGTCGAAGCAAGATGAAGTGGAATGGCATCTTCAAACTATTTGACATTTGTAGCATTTTCTAAAAGATTTGACTGGTAGCATTTTAAGGTCAATCAGAATGGATTTCTTAGCAAAGAACAAGTTGCTGTCTTGAAGAGACATCTAATTCTTTGTACTTACATTGTAAAGGAGTAAATTCAAAGTGCTAACAAATGTGCCATTGTTCTCTCTGACAGATATAGCAGCTGATGACCTAGAAAAGATTTAGAAAGCAAAAAACACTTGGTGGGATCACTTTTGTTGTCGTTAGCAGTGTCATATTTCATTGACGTTACTTGTTAAGTTAGCTTCTTAAGACTCAGCAGAAGGAATCCCTTTTTTTTCTTTTTATTGTTTATAAAATGCTGTGAACCGAAGGTTATAGTAGAAGCTCTGACTGGGCTTTGAAGCCATGGGTATGTTAAAACAATAGATCAAGCAAAGTGACCAAAAATAAAGAACAGTTAATGTTCCATGAGCTGCAGTAGCTATTCATAGATTTAAAAGGAGATTACACAGTTTTGCCTGTATTTTGCCTATGACCACCATCCAAACCCTCAATATTTCTTCATCCTAGTACATTATATCCTCTTTATCCATGGACTCGATATCCACAGTTTTACTTATTCACACTCTAAACAATATTCTTCCAGAAGTTTTTGTGAGCCCTTCTAAGTCAGTGGTTCTCAACATGTGGGTCCCCAGATGTTTTGGCCTTCAACTCCCATAAATAGTATTTATTTATTTATTTATTTATTTATTTATTTATTTATTTATTTATGGCATTTGAAGCCCACCTTTCTAAGCCTTATATCAACTCAAGGCGGCTTACAGAAATTGGCAGAATTTGATGCCATACATTCATAAAGTACAATTAAAACATTCAACCTAATATTATAAAAGCAATATAAACCATTAAAACCATTAAAACATATAATCACCAGTGTTGTCCTGTTAAAATCATTATTCAACACCATCATCTAGTCATTCCATGTTCATTCTTCTTATGTCATAATTATTTATTCTGCTGCATTTCCAAATGCTTGTTCAAGGAGCCAAGTTTTTACTCTTTTTCTGAAGGTCAGGAGGTTGGGGGCAAATCTAATATCCCTAGGGCGGGAGTTCCACAGCCAAGGGGCCACCACTGAGAAGGCCTTGTCTCTCGTCCCCACCAGACGCGCTTGAGAGGAAGGCAGGATCGAGAGTAGGGCCTCCCCAGATGATCTTAGATTCCTAGATGGTTCATAAGGAGAGATACATTCAGACAGATAAACTGGGCTGGAACCGTTTAGAGCTTTATAGGCTAAAGCGAGCACTTTGAATTGTGCCTGGTAGCAAACTGGCAGCCAGTGGAGTTGGTGCTACAGAGGAGTTGTATGCTCCCTGAGCACAGCTCCCATTAGTAATCTGGCTGCCACCCACTGGACCATTTGAAGCTTCCAAACACTTTTCAAAGGCAACTCCATGTAGAGCGCATTACAGTACTCTATATGAGATGTAACCAGAGCACGGACTACCATGGCCAAGTCAGACTTCACAAGGTATGGATGCATTTGGTGCACAAGCTTTAACTGTGCAAATGTGGCAGCTGGTAAACTGGCTGGGATTTCTGGGAGTTATAGGCCAAAATATCTGGGGACCCACAGATTGAGAACCACTGTTTTAAGTCCTCCAGTATGTTCTACAGTATGCTTACAGCCCAAGTAAAACCAAAATATAGGCTATACCATTATATGGTGTTTCAGGTAACCACAGGGGGCAATGTATCCCCGGTGGATGCAGAATGTACTGTCCTGTTCCAACACTACCTCCTTAGATTTCCCTTAACATGTTTTGTATGCTTAAAAACTTAACTTGGAAAAATCACTGGATAACTCCCATAGCCAGGATAGCTACTACTGTGCAGAGACCATTCGGTCACTCTACAGTTTTAAATCTCTACATGATGTGAGTCACAGCTGTGGCTTCGCTCATTAGTTAAAACACACTGAAAAGTAGTAGCAGCTTGATGTTTTCCAGAATAATTGGACAGAAAAGTGACTGGACATTTTGCCTTGCATTTTGATTTCTACAGAAAGTAGAGACATAGTCAGGGATGTAGCCAGGGGGGGCTTGAGGGGCTTCAGCCCCCCCCCCCGAAATTCTCATGGTGGTTCGCGAAAAGGCCTTACTGGTGCATTATTTAAACTGTTATGTTTATTCATATCATGATCTGATCACCATACTCAATATATCCCATATGCGTGGGGGTATTGGGGTAATGATACAAAAGGTTTGCTAGGGTAGACCCTCTTTCACTCAGACTCAGCCCCCCCTCCCCGAATCACCCCCCCCGAAACCCCCCTTGAAAAAAACTCACACACACCCCCGAATCGAAATCCTGGCTACGGGCCTGGATATACTATATTAATTTCCTTTACAGCTATGTCATTATCTACAAAGACTAGAGATATAGATATGTTGGCAGCACGATTACATCAATTTCCTGCCATTTTGCCATTTCTCCAACCCAGAAAATCTAGCTTTGCGAGGTATTTTGATACCTCATTGAATTTTGCTGGAGTTTGTAAGCCACCTTGAGTCCCCTGCATGGTGAGAAAGGCAGGATATAAATGAAGTAAATAAATAAATAAATTTAGAATCCTTGGTGGCAGAGCTCTAGTCTGTTCCCTAGAACTACTGTTCCTAAAGTGATCTGAATGTTATTTTCTCTACAGAATTAAATTTGATCTTTTAATCTTTCCTGTTCATTGTGTTCTAGGTCCCAAGCAGTATTGCTATCATATAAACATGTAGTAAAGATGCATTTGGGTGATTTTGCAATAAGACTAGGAATCCAAATCAGCTAAATGAATAATTTTGTGCCAGGTGTCATAGCCAGAATGAAATAAAAATCACCCAACTTGGCTTTATAGCAACTGTAACTTCCTCTCTTTATCTCTTGCTGTTTTATTTTTTTTCTCCCACCCAGCCTTCCCATTCTTCCACCCCTTTTCTGTCTTTCACTGCACCTATTTATCAACAGGAATGCTCATTTTTATCTTTGACTCAACAGATATGGACACAGAGGGCCCAACCAGACAAGCCCATATCCCAGGACCTGTCTCAGATTACCTATGGTAAAACCAAATTAATTTGGAATAAATTATGTTTTTTACACCTGCTTTGGCACATATTTTAGTCATGTCTGGAAGTGCCCATAGAGACAAGCAAGGTTTAATATGTAGTTAGCCATTAACAGCACAGAAAATGCTGATTTCTAGGAGTATGCAAAGCTTTGGAGCTCCATTTCATAACTGGTAAATACAAATCTCTGAATTACTAATAAAAAGGACCCCTCTGAAGCATTTACAAATCACACTTTTACCGATTTCTGTGTGCGGGAATGAAAAAAAAACATGCAGGAATTTTGTGCAAAATAAATCCCAGAACTACAAAAATTCACAACAGTCCACAATTTTCTTTGTGAAGATTTCACAACATTCAAGAAACATTATGGACAATTTTCTCATATTTTCCCACCTTTCACCCAACCTGAGAACTCAAATTATCGAAGTTTAAAATTACAATATAGTTAAAAACAAACAAAAAGACAGAATTAAAATAGGATTCAATTACCACCAAACTAGTATAGATAGATACACTGTTGTGGAAACATAACTAATGTTAAAATAAAATGTCACTGTATGTTCCACAGCTACTGTGGGATTAATCAGAATTTTTAATCAATTTTTATCCTGAAATGCAAGCATCAAAGTAGAGACTTAACTGCTAAAATAATTTCATAATTCCAAAATCCTTGAAATCATTTTCCTTCTTTCCCTTATTCTCTCTTTATGTATATTTTTCTTGTAACATTTCCACCTTCTCTCCTTTTTAGATTTTGTACTTTTTATGTTGAAAGAGTGAAGGAATCAGCTTTGGTATACGCATTTGGTTTATATAGTTGGGTTCAAAAGCATATCTACTTCCACCTTGTTCCAAGTCTCTAAACAGCTTCATCAGAAGAATAAATAAAACAGAGGGAATGTTTGATGCATAAAAGAAGAAACTGAACATAAATATGAGCCCATACTTACGATGCAAGTTGCGTATTGTTGACTAAGTATTCCAGAGGGTAGCTACAACTAAATTTATATAGAAGTCCTGGCAAATAGCTGATGATTGTTGGTGGATCTGGGGTATCTATATATCCTGAAACATTCCCTATCTGGACTGTAGATATATTGCCATAAGCATTAACACCTGGAACCGAGGTGACCTATTTGGATAAGACAATAAAAATAATTAAAGAAACAGCATATATAAAAGAGATTTTTTTTTAAAAAAAAAAAAAGCTACTAGGGATGGATAGTACAAATTAGAAATCAAGCTTGCAGATTGATTTGAGTTATCTTCAACACCAGACTCTAATTCCCTTCTTACCAACTCCACCCCATCACCCATGTTATTCTGCCTCCATTTAAGCTTTTCATTGCCATCATAGAGGACACAAAGGAAAGTAACGTGGTCCATTTATCCTGAAAAGATCACATTCTATGATTTGTTGTGCCTATTCCTCTGTTCAGACAAAAAATTCACTAAATGCGTACATACCCTTTTGTGATACCATTTATATTCTGTGTAAATGCTCTATTTGGAAATTTATGTGGCAGAAATGGTACATTGTTTGGATTTTGGTGAACAAATGTCTTGCATTTAAATATAAAGATGGGAGTTCTCTCCATCCATCCATCTTTCTTTTCTTTTCTTTTGTTTCACCAATAGCCACAATGGTGGGAGGGCAAGCATCTCTTTCATCGAGAATGCCCATCACAACACGACACAACAGAGCATTGGTCAACTGAGAGCAGCTAAGCCACCACATAAAGTGATAGCAAAGTGTAACTGTTCTTTTAGACAGAAAGGGTTACCTCAGACAGAATGAACATATTGGGAAATATTTGCTGCTGCAGTGGAATAAAGCAACCGGATACAAAGGCCATAACAAGTGGCAAGGAGCAATATTGTAAGAATGTATGTTTGCTTCTTCTAACCAGGAATAGTCCAAGGGGAAGGCAAGAACATCCTGAACCATTACTATCTGAAAAATCACAAAATCTATTTATTTTATTTTATTTATTATATTTATTTATACCCCGCTTTATCTCCCCAAAGGGGACTCAAACTGACTTGACATAAGAGCATTAGCATAGAATTTAAAATATACAAACATTCAAAAATTAAAACAGAATTAAACACAAACAGCAGTTTAAAAAATCACTTAAAATCCATCAAAACATATTCAAAAATCTACCATTTTCCTGAGAGTAACCTAATTTTCAGAAAGAGCCATTTAACATCCTCTTGTTTCCTCTTATTTCCTCAGTCATTACCCACTCAACAGACACACATTTGATTGCTGACAGAAGAAGACAACCTGTCTATTTCTTTTGATTAAACTGGAATTTGGGAGGTTGAAAAAGTATCTCCAGCTTGATTCCCTACAGCCTTCTTCCTTCCAACTCCCCTTCCAATCTGTCAACACTAAAGAAGAAGCATTCAAGTTGGTTTTTAAAGTGTTTCTCACAACACATGAAGAATTCAGCTTCAGATCTACCTGTAAAACATTGGAATGTTGGTAGTTGGAAGGTTGGTAGTTGGTCCAATGGAGGACAGAAAAGCCAATGGGATTTTGGCCTGCCTAAATAGTATAGGGGCTTGATGAATGCAAGGCTGGGGTGAAAATTGCTGGAAGAAACATTAACAACCTCAGATATGCAGATGACACCACTCTGATGGCCGAAAGCGAGGAGGAGCTGAGGAGCCTTCTAATCAAGGTGAAAGAAGAAAGCGCAAAAGCTGGGTTGCAGCTAAACATAAAAAAACCAAGATTATGGCAACAAGAATGATTGACAACTGGAAAATAGAGGGAGAAAATGTGGAGGCCGTGACAGACTTTGTATTTCTAGGTGCAAAGATTACTGCAGATACAGACTGTAGCCAGGAAATCAGAAGACGCTTACTTCTTGGGAGGAGAGCAATGTCCAGTCTCGATAAAATAGTAAAGAGTAGAGACATCAGACTGGCAACAAAGATCCGCCTAGTCAAAGCCATGGTATTCCCTGTAGTACCCTACGGATGTGAGAGCTGGACCTTAGGGAAGGCTGAGCGAAGGAAGATAGATGCTTTTGAGCTGTGGTGTTGGAGGAAAGTTCTGAGAGTGCCTTGGACTGCGAGAAGATCCAACCAGTCCATCCTCCAGGAAATAAAGCCCATTGCTCATTGGAGGGAAGGATACTAGAGACAAAGTTGAAGTACTTTGGCCACATCATGAGGAGACAGCAAAGCCTGGAGAAGACAATATGCTGGGGAAAGTGGAAGGCAAAAGGAAGAGGGGCCGACCAAGGGCAAGATGGATGGATGGCATCCTTGAAGTGACTGGACTGACCTTGAAGGAGCTGGGGGTGGTGACGGCCGACAGGGAGCTCTGGCGTGGGCTGGTCCATGAGGTCACGAGGAGTCGGAGGCGACTGAACGAATGAACAACATCTAGATCCAGGGAAGTCATGCTACCATTCTATTCTGCCTTGGTCAGACCACAACTGGAATACTATGTCCAATTCCAAGCACCACAATTTAAGGGAGATGTCAACAAGCTGGAAGGTGTCCAGAGGAAAGCGATTAAAGTGATCAAGGGTCTGGAGAACAAGCCCTATGAGGAGCACCTTAAAGAGCTGGGCATGTTTAGCCTGTAGAAGAGACGGCTGAAATGATGGCCATGTATAAATATTTGAGGGGGAGTCATAGGGAAGAGAGACCAAGCCTGGTTACTGCTACGCTAGAGACTAGGATGCAGAACAATGGCTTCAAACTACAGGAAAGAGGATTCCACCTGAGCATTACGAAGAACTTCCTAACTCTAAGAGCTGTTCAGCAGTGGAATTCTCTGCCTCAGAGTGTGGTGGAGGCTCCTTCTTTGGAGGCTCTTAAACAGAGGTTGGATCGTCATCTGTCTGGGGTGCTTTGAATGCGATTTTCCTGCTTCTTGGCAGGGATTGGACTGGGAGGCCCACGAGGTCTCTTCCAACTCTATGATTCTATGATACACATGCCTCAGTGCCCTTCCAATATTTTGAAGGATATAATTCTTCACAAAGTTTCTCCTCAGATATAGTAATGAGCAACTTCTGCAAATGTCTTCCTACAGCAAGAAAATAATTAAACCCATGCAATTTTTGAGGGCTATTTGTAATGTGGCCTTTCTCTTTGTGTGGAAAATAATTTTTCAAAACAGAAAATTTCATTCATGTGCAAAAAATGCTCTTTGTCACAATTGGGGAGGTATTGTGTGAAAAATTTGCACATGGATGATTTGTATAAAGAACAGCATTGTGTCTTCTGAAACTAATATTTCAAGTTTGAAAAAATAATCATGCAAAAAGTGGTTTTTTTGTGAAAGAAAATATGATTTTTATGCAAAACAACCATGTGCAAATTTTGCCAATAATAAATCCCAAAATCCAAAGATTGTCATCACTCCAATAAACTTCTCATCACAATTTCAACACTCAGAAAAATATTTTTGACCATGTTTTGATATTTTCAAATATTCTTTCTATCCCTAATATTTTGTTCCTACAAATGTTATTTGAAGATAAGGATATGTTTCCTATTTTATAACTTTCTCTTCTAATATGACTAAAACTTGTATCAAAAAATGCATTTGGAAGCAAGAGTTTGCAGTGTTGTTAGTGTCAAAAATTACAAACCAGAGCCACTGCACAGTTGATAGTCCTTAATAAGGATTCCCAATGGCATAGACTCTCAGAAACATACTTGTCCAAACATTAGCTCACCTTTTGCCATCCAAAAAATAAAGGAACATTCACTCTGATAACAAAAAGCTGCTGTTGACAGTACAGGGTGATTCATAAAATCCATCTTTCCCCCTCAAGCTAGTCTTCACTATTTTGGAGTTCACAATCTTGGATGACCCCAGCACTCACATATGGAGTCAACAACATTTCCCATAATCACACACTTTTCCTAGCTGCTGTAATCATAGAAACTTCTAGTGACTCTGTCTTCATTCAAGTGAAAACAAACGGAAATGTTTGCATGGGAGAAAATGAATTATATTACCCAGCTCTCAGCCTAATAAGTTAACACTAACATTGACTATAATATGTGTCAGAACATTTACATATATACAAACACAAAAGAAATTGAATTTTCTTTTCAATTAGGGCTCTCAAAAGGCATTTAATTGCTCCCTGCTCAGTTTTTCCACTTCTGTAGTGAACTTCAACCATGAAGTGGTTGACCCTGCCCTGTTCCCACTTGATTTGTGTCACTATAGCAAGAGAAGCACTGAATTGTTAGAACTTTTTTAAAGGCCATTTAAAGCAAGAGGAATTCATTGGTCATAATCCTCAGATTGCCTTCACCACAACAGTCCTGCTGGCTTCAGAAAAAATGCTATTCTGTGCTACACAGAGAAGTTCAGTCCACGGTTTTATTATTTTAATGTGTTTTCTGAATTTATATCTTTGCCATTTGACCCATAATAGAAATGGTTGCAATGATCTGTGCAAACTCACAAATAATGCTGGACATTAACAATTTGGTTTAAAGTATCAAGTGTAAGTGTTTGCCCTTTTAGGAAACTTTATGAATTGTCATAAACCACTCCAGTATCCTTGCCAAGAAAACTAAATGGACCAGTACAACCAGAGATATGTCGGTATGCCATTGGAAGATGGGACTCCCAGGTCGGAAGATGGCCAAAATGCTACTGGGGAGGAGCAGAGGATAACTTCAACTAGCCCCAGATGTGATGACGCAGCTAGCTCAAAGCCGAAAGGAAGGCTAGCGGCCGACGGTACTGGAGGTGAACGACGAATCCGATGCTCTAAAGATCAACACAACATAGGAACCTGGAATGTAAGATCTATGAGCCAGGGCAAATTGGATGTTGTTATTGGTGAGATGTCAAGACTAAAGATAGACATTCTGGGGGTCAGCGAACTGAAATGGACTGGAATGGGCCACTTCACATCAGATGACCACCAGATCTACTACTGCGGACAAGAGGAACATCGAAGAAATGGAGTAGCCTTCATAATTAATAAGAAATTCGCTAAAGCAGTGCTTGGATACAACCCAAAAAATGACAGAATGATCTCAATTCGAGTGCAAGGAAAGCCTTTCAACATTACAGTGATCCAAATATACGCCCCAACCACAGCTGCTGAAGAAGCAGAAGTAGATCAGTTCTAT